CAGGCGTGAAATTTGTAGACAGAGCATGATTCAGCGGCAGGCCTTGCACCCGCTTCCTAGAGAGACTATCCAGGAGCAGATTCTCGAACGCAAAAAGCAGCACAGCAAGAATCGGGCTCTTGGCAGGCAGGACAACTTTGCGAGTCTCCCCGTCATCAGACTCCAGGGACCTGCCCTCCCCACCGCCACCCTTGTCCAACAGGCTGCGGTCCATCTCCCTCTCGCCCCGCAGGAGGGCGCCCCCCCCCCCCCCCTTGCGGGACTGCGACCCCAAGCCCCGCCCGCTCAGACGCAGGGATACGTGTTGCATCTTTTCTCCGGCCATCGCAGAGAGCAGGATGTTCAGCAGCATTTTGAGGAGTTGTTGCAGCAGCATGCCATGCGTATCTACATTCTAAGCATTGACGTGGCGCACTCTGCCTCTAAAGGGGATCTCACTGATCCCGAGACTGTGGGTCTTTGGCTGAGTCTTGTGGCCCAGGGGCGTGTCTTGGGCGTTCTGGGAGGACCGCCGTGCGAAACCTGGAGTGCGGCCCGTCATCTCCCTTGCGAGGGTACCTCTCGGCCCCCCCGACCCGTCAGGTCCCCTGATCAGCTATGGGGTTTGCCCTTCCTGAGGCCCCGCGAGGCGGAACAGGTGGGTCTCGGCAACTCGTTGCTTCAGACGATGATATTGTTCTTGTATCAGTGCTGGAGGTACTCTGTTCCATGTGTCATGGAGCATCCCGCCCCGCGCGACTCCAGGCCTGACATCCCATCCTCTTGGCATCTCCCCGAGATGGTCAGACTTGCCCGACTGCCCCATGTGCAGGCTGTTGATACTGATCAGTGCCAGTTTGGCAGCACATCCCTCAAGCCCACGCGGCTTCTCTCGGTTCACTGTCCTGCGCTTCGGGGACTCACGGACTGCAGGCCTCGGAGAGGCCGTTGTGGGGGATGCGCTCACGTGGCGCTTCTCGGGCTTAACGGCGATCGTTCCTGGGTGACTGGTCGTGCGAAAGTCTATCCTAGCGCCCTCTGTCGTCATCTTGCCTCCTTTCTGCTTGCTGACATTAATCTCAATTTCACCAGCGCACGCGGCGCTTTGACTGAGTGGGATTTGCCTGAATGGGCGGCGGCTTTCCACGTGCCGCTCGACCCCTACGTTCAGCATCAGATGGCAGATGACTGCATGGCTCATGGGCCTCCCAACCATCTTCGCGGCAGCCAGGGCTAGGCCTGGGCCCTTCTCCCTCTCCCCTTCTCTCCCTGTGCATGAATTCGTGCTCTGTTCTTTTGCCCTGCTCGGCTTCACCCTTGTACAGGCTACGGACTTCCAGCCTTACCGATGCGATGCGATGCGAGGAGGAGGAGGAGGAGGACAAAGACGAGGGAGACGGTGAGAGGGAGCGACAGATACAGTCGGAGAAGAGATACCGGAATCCCAGGACCCCGCAGCCGCCCCCGATCGCGGAGATCGCGGGAAAGGGTACCCGTCGTCATGCTTGGGTTGGCGACGCCTGGAGGGAGGTCTGGTCGGATGCGCTCTCTCTCAGCCCTGCGACAGCACATTGCTCATAATGCGCCTCCAGGCGAGAGCCCAGGACCCGCAGCCCCGCCGTCGCGAAGGTCGGGCGCGGTCCGGCCCCTTCCGATATGACTCCCGTCCCTCCTCGGCTCCCTCCGTGTCTTCCTCACCGTCGTCCACCTCTTCCTCCCCTCCTCCCTCCCGCCTGCTCCTGATCCCTTCTCGTCCATTACATTTGTCTCTCTTCTCGTATGCTTCCTCGTCATGCTGCTCTTCCGTCGTCCACTTCTGCTCGTCCCACCTCATTCGGTTCTCAATCATCCTGTGGTGTTGGGTCCTCGTTGAGATGAATCAGCAGCGCCCCGCGTCCACTCCTCCACCTCCTCCCTCCTCCTCCCACTCATCTCTCCCCCGGCTCTCATCGTCGTCACTTTGGCTTGGCACACCGCTGACACGCTTCGTGGCCCTATAGGGGGCTCCACCGAAAGCCCCAGTGGCAGGTCCGCATGGCGCCAGCGCGCCCATTTCGGCATACCCATCACAAGCTTCGTGGCCCCAACAGGAAGCTCCACCGAAGGCTGTGGGAGGGTACGCATGGCGCCAGCGCGCCCATTTCGGCACACACCCCACACGTTTCGTGGCCGCGCAGGGAACTCCATCGAAGGCCCCAATGGCATGGTCCGCATGGCGCCAAGGCACACATTTCGGCACAACCCCCTCGCACGTTGCGTGGCCCCATAGGAGGCTCCACCGAATGCCCCAATGGCAGGGTCCGCATGGCGCCACCGCACCCAAACCGGCCCACACGTCACACGTTTCGTGGCTCCACGGGGAGCTCTGTTGAAGGCCCCAGCGGCGGGGTCTGCGTGTCGCCGCCGCACCCGCTTCGGCATACCCGTCAGAGGCTTCGTGGCCTCATAAAGAGCTCCACAGAAAGCCCCATGGCAGGGTCCGCATGGCGCCAGCGCGCCCATTTCGGCACACACTTCACACGTTTCACGGTCACGATGGGAAGCTCCCACCGAAGGCCCCAATGGCAGGGTCCGCATGGCGCCAGCGCGCCCAGTTCGGCATACCCCTCACACGTGTCGCGGTCACGATAGGAAGCTCCACCGAAGGCCCCAATGGCAGGGTCCGCATGGCGCCAGCGCGTCCATTTTGGCATACCTCTCATGCGTTTCGTGGCGGCGATAGGGAGCTCCACCGAATGCCCCACCGGGAGGGTCCGCATGGCGCCACTGCACCCGTGTCAGCACACCCCTCACACGCTTCGTAGCCTCAAACGGGGGCCCCACCGAAGGCCCCAGTGGCAGGGTCCGCACGATTTCGGCACACCCCTCACACGTTTCGAGGCCCCCCTCCTTCGATTCGTTCCATCTGCCTCGCGGTACTGGCAGCTGCATGCCGCTGGGTCCTTCGCCAAGATGACTTGTTGTTCCTCCCCCTCCTCCCATGCATCCCCCTCCTCCCCCTTTTCCTT